TACTTATAGTACGCACTGTACGTAGTACGCGTAGTGAGCGTACTTCAAGCGTGCAGACCCTGAATTGGGACACAGCCCCTGAATTGGGACACAGCCGTTGCGAAGGTAATTTATCCATTTAAATCAGCTGTGATGGATCAAGGACACATCTAAAACCTGCAGGGACACCGGCCCTCGTGGACTGGGATTGGGGACACCTGATGTAGAGGGTAGAGTGCTCAGATCGCTTTCTTCTTCAGAAGTCCTTTATCATCTCCTTGGTATTGGCTGTGTTCAGATGCAGGTTGTTGTTGTCACACCATCGCTTCAGATGCTGAACCTCCTTTCTGTAGGCTGAATAATCGTTGTTGTTGATGAGTCCTATGATGGTGGTGTCATTGGCAAATTTTATGATAGTATTACTGGTGTGGGTTGGTGAACAGTCATGGGTGAAAAGTGAGTATAAGAGAGGACTGAGGATACACCCCTGTGGGACACCCACATTCAGAATGAGGGTGGAGGAGGTGTGCTCTCCCATTCTGACGTTCTGGGGTCTGTTGTTCAGGAAGTCCAGTATTCAGGTGCACAGTGAGCTGCTGAGTCCTAAGTTGCTTAGTTTATTCACCAGTTTGTAGGGTTGAACTGTAGTGAAGGCAGAGCTGAAGTCCACAAACAGCATTCTCACATAGGTGTTACTAATGTCCAGGTGTGTGAGGGTTGTGTGAAGAGCTGTTATTATGGCATCCTCTGTTGACCTGTTTACCCTGTATGCAAACTAGTATGTATCGAGGTTTGCAGGGATGGCAGCTTTAATGTGTGACATGCTCAAAACATTTGGCAATTATGGGTGTTAAAGCAACTGGACGGTAGTCATTCAAGCAGCTCACTGTTCTTCTTTGGCACTGGAACGATGGTGGCTAACTTAAGGCAGGATGGTACTACAGACTTTAGCAGTGAGAGGTTGAAGATGGTGGTGAAAACTTCTGCTAGCTGGTCTGCACATGCTTTGAGCACTCTACCAGCTACACTGTCAGGACCAGCTGCTTTGCTCACATTGACTCTATGCAGTGTGGCTCTGACCTGATGCTGCTCTAGCTGGATGGGGGCGTCGTCCCTCTCTGTAACAGCAGGATGGGGGATGGTGTCCCTGTTTTGTTGGTCGAAGCGAGCGAAGAACTGGTTTAGGGTGTCAGGTAAGGTGATGTCCGGGGAGTTTGTTTGTGTGCGACTGTCTTTGTAGCCAGTGAGTGTCTTGATCCCCCTGCCACATGTTTCTGGAGTTCTTTGTGTTAAAGTGTCCTCAATGGGCTGTTTGTATTTGCGCTTGGCTTCTTTCATTCCTTTAAGCAGAGATTGGCGTGCATCTTTGTAGACTTGTTGGTCTCCTGATTTGAAGGCGCTGTCACATGCTCTTAATAGGGTTCTCACCTCACTGTTGAGCCATGGCTTCTGGTTCGGGAACACTTTCACAGTCTTTGTTGTTGTTACACTCTCAGTACAGAAGTTGAAATTTTATGTATTCTTTATATAGTTTTTTAAAATGTATTTTATAAAGAATAATAATAAGTTAAATTTTTTTGGACATTTGTGGACATTACTGAACTGTTTAAGAAACTGAAATAGATCTACATATACAAACACAGGACCCAGAAAACAGTATTCAAATATTCATTTAAACACGAGCATGGAAAGTGATTTTTAATATTATGTTTTGTTTTTGTTTGTTTTATAATCCAAAGGGTTGTTCAGTCATTCAAGTAAACAAAAAAATTCATGCTTCATTATATTCTTAATTGTTTATTTAGCAGAGAAGGTCAAAAACATAACCACCTCCTTCATCACAGTAGTTTCTTTCCTATATTTTTCATGACTGGAGACACGGCTTACAATAACAGCAACAACAAAAAACAATAAAATGAAATAAAATAAAATAGTTAGCCCTTAATAGTTTATTTGACTCTGCTATTTATTAGAAAGATTTATAAACTGATTTCTTGATGGACTTATGTTGCAGGCTAAATAATCCCTTTTTAATGGTAGAATGAATGTAGTAAGACGCGCAATACTTCTGTTTCTCTGGAATTTGTACACTGCTCTTTTCGGTTGACCATTGTTTGCTGTGGAAAAGGCAAAGAATTGTTAGGTTTTCTAACATAAAGAGACACTGAGGTCCATCCATTGTCCATCAGAGAAACATGCTTTTGAAAATAAAACCAAGGCAAGGTTGGCTAAAAACAAGCCAACTCATCCGCAAAACAGCTGTAAACCTGCGTGGTTGTCACAATAAACATAACAGAATTTTATTTCTATATCTTATTCTATAAATTGGTGTATTTTTATTGCATTGAAATACTAAGTAACTTAAACTGCCTCACATGTGTTTAATAAAATGGTAATAATTTAATATTTTCTAAAGTACAACGTTCTTTCACATTGTCTTTAACAGTCTAGTTTTGCCTTCCTTGTATGGGAATTCTTCCAAAACATGCTTTAATTTTAATATTTGATGGTCTGGTATCATAAGCTGCAGTGATGTTTGCATCGTTTCATAGAATATCATCAAGATGTGACAGTGAAAACAATGGCCAGCAGGTGTCCCTGTGGAGTCAGATGTCACATTGCGCAAAATAAAGACAGAAAAATGCTTGAAAACTGTGAAAACTGCTAAAAATTTGACAATAATTTAAAGCAAAGAGATAAATGTATGTTTATGCAAAATCTGTGACATGTCAGTGGCAAATAAGATAGAATAACATCACACTTTACTCAACGCCAGTCACATATTTTGGAAAGAAGTAGCCTATTAATGAATTTGTAAAAAATATGTAAAATATTTAACACTTAACACTTGATGTGGTCCATAATTTCAAAATAAATAACAATAATTCATGTTGCATGGCAGCAATAAAAGTTTTTCTAAGAGTTTACAGAAAACAATTTTATTTTATAAACTGTCTTGATGAGTTGCTTTTTTTTATCTTGAGTGTTAAGACCACATTTACATTACATGTGGAAAATTTTTACCTCAGCCAGGAAGGTTTTTGTTTTAGTTGCATTTGCGATTCTCTAACTCTACTAAAAGACTCTTCCCAAAAGACGTTCCCACACTTTCTCTTTGGGTGATCAGAAAATATTCAAGTGGAAAAAATCAGGAACAGACGATGTGAGAGCCACTTAAGTTAAACACACAGACACTTTAAAAACTCTTTATATTAGCGGAAATAACAAACATATTTCAACGTTTTTGACTTCTTAGATCTACTCCGTAAGCTGACGTCCACATGCTCGAAATTCAACTACACGTCACTCCGACTATGATTGGTCGATTCAGCGCCCGGAGTTATCCACCTACTGCGATCTGTACTGAAAGATTGGCTCTGCAGCTTATAATGTGGCAGGCCCAGAGCAAGGAGGACTCACAGTTCACACGTATGGCTACTTAATGGTCGGCCGCTTTTTTATTTTTATTTTTTACTGCGACTTGGGATTCTTTTTTCTTTTTTTTGCTGCAAATAATAATAATAATAATAAGACAAAGAAAAGATGAAGTTCTGTTTGCTGCTTCTCTTCTGTCGTAATTTACTTGCAGGTAAGAAAAATATTTCTCACCTGACCTTGAGCAGTGTGTTTGGCTTCGTTGTAGTTGAAAGCTGTTTTGGCCTGAACTTTACTAAATGAATTTTAATTCTTACGTTATAGCAAAATATGGATCTAAAACTGGAGGGAATTTTTCTGCAGTATAACTCTATTTGATTCTCATCGATGATTAAGAAAAAAATGATTTATTCATTTTCAGTACATGCCTGTTATTCTTTATAATTTTCAGTTTTGCGGTGAGAAACACACTCAAACAGATCAGACGGGATGGCGGTTTGACCAAACATGCTATAAAAATGAAAATAAAAATGAAAACGTCACTCAGTCCTAATGTTTACTTGCAAAGTAAATGAGAACATGTGACCTGAATTATACTGAATGAATCATGCTTCTGATAATGCTTTTATTTTTTTAATTTATTAATATCATAAACATTTTATCACACAGATAAACATTCACTGAAGTATTTTGTCACTGGATCCTCTGGAGTCCCAAACATCCCAGAGTTCATGGGTGTAGTGGTGTTTAATGGCATCCAGGTGGGTTACTGTGACAGCAACAACAAGACTTTAAAACCAAAACAGGACTGGGCGAAGAAAATGTTAGAAACAAACCCTGAGAAGAAAGAGTGGCACACTAACATGTGTTTCAACGATCAGCCAAACTTCTTCAGAGAGATGATTTTTATGTTGAAACAACAATTCAGTCAAAGTGAAGGTGAAGTATTTTCTGTTATGTCCTATCTCAAATCATAGGATATGCTAAACGAAACTGAGTGATGTACAATTCTCTATTGTGTGCTCCTTGTATTAGAATTTTAGATTTAGTCTTTAAATTAAAATCTTAACAATGTTTTCAGCTTTTTAGACATCTTGCCTATATCTGAAGTTCTGTCACATGACTCCTGGTTTGAACCAGTTTCTGTATCTTGTCCTCCTTCATCTTGTTCTCGTGGTCCTGTGGTCTTCACATCAGACCTACCCTTACAGCTGCAGTGTTCCACTTAGTTTATACTAGTAAAAATGATGATGATGATCTGATTATTGGACTTAGCACACACCTTTGTTATAATACCAGTGGCTCACACAATATTAATATAGTTCACTGCAGTCTCTGTTTTTCTTTCTCTCTTCAGATGTCCACATTTTACAGAGAATATCTGGCTGTGAACAGGATGAAAACACTGGAGAAGTGACCGGCTTGACACAGTACGGTTATAACGGAGAAGACTTTCTTGAATTTGATCTGAAGGCACAGATGTGGATCGCACTGAAACCAGAGGCTGACATCATCAAACTGAGATGGGATGCAGACAAAGTTCGAATTAAACACAAAGCAAACTCCCTCACTCAGATTTGTCCAGAGTGGCTCAAGATGTGTGTGGACAATGGGAAAAGCTCCCTGCAGACGACAGGTAGAATCACATGACCTGATGCAGTTTCATGAATGCAAAATGTTTATTTAAGGCAAGGCAAGGCAAGGCAAATTTATTTGTATAGCACAATTCAACAACAAGGTGATTCAAAGTGCTTTACAGAGACATTAGAAACAAAAACAAATAAAAAGCATGATTTAAAATTGATTAAAACAAGCAAACAAACAAACTAACTAAACACACACATTCATTCACACCTGTTCGCGCGATCTGAACCCTTATCGTAAGGGGAGCTACCAGTCCTTCTGTGGACGAGCTACTTTCTCTTTCATGTTGCATTATATTCCTAACAACAGTTATCTTTTAAAAAGAAAATTGCTAAACATTTAGGCTGATTTTGTATTCAATGATGCCCCGGGAGGGGCTCAGAGTAGAGCTGCTCCTCCACATCGAAAGGAGCCAGTTGAGGTGGTTCGGGCATCTGACAAGGATGCCTCCTGGGCGCCTCCTGGGTGAGGTGTTTCGGGCATGTCCCACCGGGAGGATGCCCGGGGGCGGCCCCGGGCCCGGTTGGGGGGTTATCTCTCTGCTGGCCTGGGAACGCCTTGGTGTTTCCCCGGACAAGCTAGAGGAGGTGGCTGGGGAGAGGGAGGTCTGGGCTTCTTTGCATAGGCTGCTGCCCCCACGACCCGGCCCCGGATAAAGCAGAAAAGGATGGATGGATGATTTAGTAACTCTGAAAGAAGCTGGGTCCACACACTGCTGTGCTGCTACAGCGTTTGTGATCAGGAACATCTTCAGGCAGAAATATCTTTTAACACACAGCAAAACTCAAACAGAGTTTTGGTTATTATCACTTTCCTCAGAATAAACAGAGGGAAGGTACACTCTGCTGCAGAATAAGTCTGGCAACAATCAGACTAAGAGACAAACATATATGCACATAAGAAGCTGATTGCACACAGACAGGACTTGTAGCCTATTTTTAAATTGATGTCAGGGACATGATGAGATTGGTTTCAGGGTCACAGGCAGGACAGAGAAAAAAGGTGTTAGTGATATTTTCTTGATATCTCCTGACTGAATTCCAACAACTTTGTTTTCTTTTCTGATTTCATTTTTTTTTATCTTTACTTCTTCCTACCTCTCCCTCTTTCCCACCTTCCCTCTGTCCAGTTCCCTCAGTGTCTCTCCTCCAGATGACTCCCTCCTCTCCAGTCAGCTGCCACGCTACCGGTTTCTATCCTGACAGAGCCATGATGTTCTGGAGGAAAGATGGAGAGGAGCTTCATGAAGGTGTGGATCCTGGAGAGATTCTCCCCAACAATGATGAGACCTTCCAGATGAGTGTTGATCTGAATGTTTTGTCATTCAGACCTGAAGACTGGAGCAGATATGAGTGTGTGTTTCAGCTCTCTGATGGTGAGGACGTCATCATCACCAGGCTGAATGAAACAGTGATCAGAACCAACAGAGGAGGAAAAAATACAAATGGTGAGAAAAGCTCATTTAATTCATTTTGTTTCCTGTTACTGTGGATTGTCTGTAATTCAGTGTTTTGTCCTGTTTTTGTGTGATCTCAGGCAGAATAGCTGCTACTGTAGGAATAACTCATGGAGATCCTGTTAGAGTTGGAGGAAAAAAATCAGTACTTGTATATAATAACTGTCTCTTTGATTTAAAATGTGCCCAGTGTTGGTGCTGCTAACATCCATCCATTCATCCATTTACTTCTCCTTCTCCTTATCAGGGTGTTACAGTCCAAAGACATGCAGTTAGTGGGGTCAGGTTCATTGATGATTCTAACTTGCTCATAGGTGTGAATGTGAGTGCGAATGGCTGCTGTTAATATTCTTAAGAGAAAACTGTTTCGACCATAATCCTGACAGTGATACTGGAACTTACATTTCAAAATGCGAGTGTTTCTAAATAATAATTTTATTTCTGGCCTTATAATTGAGGAGCTGAATACACAGAACTCCTGTCAAAGGGTTAAAAAGTCAGCCACCTAATTTTACTGTGCCTGCTCTGCTTAACTGCAATATATCATGGTATCTGAGTGTTGTATAGTGTTACATGTATGATCACATCAGTAGATCTTGACATAGAAATTATGCTGTCTTCTCTTCACCAATATGTGATTTATATTTAAACTACATCATTACTGACTGATCAGAGGAACCCTCGGACATGATGATCACCATCACTGCTGCAGTGGTTGTTTCAGTTGCTCTCGTCCTCGTTGCTGCTGTTTTTGCTGCTGTTTACAAGAAGATGAAAGGTGAGAGATTCAGCTGAGCTGATGCTCTGATACAGACAGAACGTCTCTGGCATTCTTAAATATTTGTTTTTTCTTATTTTTTCAGAAACAAATACTGAACAATGTAAGTAAACTAATTCTCTTTATCACTCAGAGTTTCATTGTTACTAAGCCAGTTCAAGATTAGTAGGACTAACAGTTTGTTTTGGACCCCACAGCTCCGGGCAACACCTCTGAACTCTCTTCAAGACTGAATCCAGAGACTGCATAGACAAACACAGCACACATCTCCACCTAAGAAAAGTGTGAAGACGATTGTTGATCATTTCATTTTTAATTTCTGGTATTTTTCCCTCCAGTATGTGATTATTCTGTTACGTCTGAAAAAGACAAACCCAGATGTACTTTTACTCAATAAATACTTATAATGTTCTAAACATTGTTTTTTTATATATTTCTATATTAAAGTTATTTCAGCTTAATTTATTTATTTTATGCATACCAACTTGTATAATATTTTATTCGTTTTCATGTTTGCCAGTTTAGAGATCCAGCCTTCTAAGGGTTTTTAACACTATCTCCTGTATCATCTAGAAATCCTTACCTAGGGATAGGAATTGATAAAAATTATAAGTGATTCCAGTTCCATTGTCGATATTGTTTTGATTCCTTATCGATTCTCTTATCAAATTGCTCCCCTTTCGTTCAAATTAATTGCATGTTATGTAGTCAAATGTTTGTGCTTATTGGACGTATTTCCCCTCTTTTTTGCTATCAGTGTTGGGGTCATTACTCAAATGCATCAATACCTTTTAACAATATAACCTACAGGCTACAGTCCTGCACACCAACACAGATCCCTGTCCTAATGAGGACACACAGATGATCTTTCTCTTAATAAAACACAAAGCCTTGCTGATCCAGACCCGGCTGACTTCATCATTAGTGTTTCACAAAGCTCTATTTTTTCAATCTATTTAGTTTTTTATGTTTTGATTTATTGGGATTATTTTTCATTTGTTCTGGGAAACCTTAAGTTTCTCCACACTCATTGTCCCATTCACAGCTGTTAGACACCTGAGAAAGATACACAAAATATGCAGAACCAGCACAGTTGTAGATGGATAAACAAAAAACAGGTAAATCCTGCTGCAAACCTTAAATATTTACTATATAAACAATGCCCATGTTATGAAAAGAGGGAAAACTCCCCCATCACCCTCCTTGCTCCAGGTCTTTGTGTGCTGTATCCACTGCCAGCTATTGTTGGTGTGTACAAGTCATAAGCAGTTACCTTGTATATGGTGATGTTATTTTCATGTTACTCCTCTCATACAAGCCTTTCATCTTAAAGGAAAATGATCTGTCTGTTATATAAATGGACAAAAGGTAAAATCAAAGTGAAAGTGATCGTTTTCCTCTAAACTCAGGGAGCATTCTGTTCCATAAGTTTGTGTCATTGCCTGATTTACTTTACTTGCACTATTTATGCACTATTTCAGCAAAGTTGCTGAAAGACAAAGGGTGAGTGATACTAATAACAATATTGTTAAATTTCAGTAGATTGCTGTAAGCTTGATTGTCAATGGTCCAGATTTAAGAGTTCATTTACAGTCAGATTGAGAAAATATGATTTGTGGAAGTCTTGTTTCTCATTTTGAATCCAAGAGTCACGGTTTAAGCCTTTAAATAAAAATGGGTATGAGGCAGTCAGTATGAGACAGGACAAGGAAGGTTGTTTCAGCTCTTTTAAAGAGGGGTCTGTTTTAGGGTAATAGGCACTGGATCATAACTGGAGTTAGTAGTTGTGAAAGTATGTGCAGGAAAAAGTCTTAATACATGCATAAAACTAGAGCGCAATTGGCTTGAGGAAATAGGTGTAAACAAAGGATCTCTCTGTGGTGTGGAGACTTCAGTGTACAAATAACATTAAGGGGAAGTGCAAAAGCGAATTCAAAGCCCAGGTGTTGGAAGAGTTAATTAAATGTAACTGATTAACAGATATAAATACCAGCAAAGAATCTTATGTTTGTGTGCAGCTTCCTGGCACCTCTGTGTGACTGGTATGTTCATAGAAAAGGACTAGAGTCAGTGACGATTACACAATATACAAGAACATAACCTCTCAGGCCTGAGAGGTCCAGCAGGAAAGTTAATTTTTTGATAAAACAGACTGGGGAAAGATTAATAAGGAAGTGCTAAATAACTTTGATTTTAGCGACATTATTGTCACAGAAACGTTTAACAAGAAAATAATTCAGCACGTCAACAGAAAGCTCCATTTCTAAAAGTACAGGAAAGGGAAGGAGGAAGTCTGGTACGTGTTGACTGGAACTATCCTGTTTTCAGTAGTGGGGAGGATGTGGCGTAAGGAGAGAATGACATACTTTTGCTGCTGTGGATTGTTCCAATAGTTTAACTGATGAAGGAAAGGGAGGCAGCGAAAACAAAACAAGCAGGCTGTGAGGAGAAAGTAGTGATGAAAGATGCTCCTGTTACTACTGAAGCACTAAAGAGGGGTTTACCTAAAAGAAGAAAAAGTTAAAAGGGTAAAGACTGAATATGTTTTATTATGATAGAAGATATAAATGAAGAGGTCTTAGATAAGTTTCTGATAGTTTTATAAAAACAAAAAAGGTGGATGGATTTTGACGTCGCAACGCCAGGAAAAGATCCCAACAAGCTGGGTAACTATAGGCCCATTGTACCCACTTCTGATGTTTGAAAGTTATTGGAAAGAAAAAAGGCTTTGATAGCTGTCTGTCAGCTTGGGTTTCACATCATGGAGGATGAAATAAGGAAAGCCCACATTAACCTCTTAAGCCCCAATGCCCCCTGATACGGGGGCAAAAAGCAGGAGATCAGGTAGGCTTGGGGCTTAAGAGGTTAATAAGGGATTGGTCTCAGCTGTTTTTGTTTTTTATGTAGAAAAAGTCCCTGTCTCTCAATTTACAAAAGTATACCTCTGGGAAGAGTGATTATTTTACATGCTCTGTTTCAAAGTATTTCAGTAAGCATGGGGAAGTCTGCAATGATATTCCCATGAGAGAGGGAAATTAGAGGATGAAATTATGGGTGCAGTTAATTATTTTCTTTCAGAAAAGTAGGGAACAGGAGTGAGCTTTAACCTCGCATGCAAAAGCACACAGCAAGCAGCAAGATACACTATACTCCCAAAGCACCTCCCACGGAATTCCAACAGAAATTAATTCAAAAGGCTTCTCCAAGTCCACAAAACACATGCAGACTGGTTAGGCAACTCCTGCAAAAACACTTAGATTTCCTCGAGACATCAAAGAGCTGTTCTAGTGTTACACAGCTAGGACAAAAGGTGTATTTTTCTTCGTGAATCCAAAGTTCACCCAGAGGACAGTCTCTCCTCTCCAGTTCCCTGGCATAGGTGTACACAGGTAGCTGAGTAGTGTGAGCAAACACTCCAGTCTCCATCCTTAAAAATGGGAACCACTTTTCATAAGTAGCACCCTGTTATAGAAGACACATCTCTGACCAACCATCAGTTGAATTTCATTTAAATGGAAGTAAAACAATGGTGTTGTCACACAGAAAACCAACAGTATGGTCACATCAATATCACTGTTGTAAAGTGTTCATGTTAGTGCTGATATCACTGATTTTGAGTGGGTTTTGGTTTTTAACAAATTTCCCACGCCTGGGACTAATAAAGGTTATCTTATCTTATCTCGTCTTATCTTATCTTTGTTCCATTCATCTAACTGTTAAAGATTAGTTTTTCAATCTTAAAGACAATTAATAAAGAAAAAAAAAGGCTCAGTTACAATGGGAAATTACGGATAAAGCTTTATTTTAATACTAGCCACACCTTTCTAAATTTATATGCACAACAGTCAGGCTTTATGTCAGGGACAGGATAAAAGAGAGAAAACAAGCGATATAGATAATGACTTTTATTATGAAAGAACGAAACAGGAAGACGCCCTTATCGAAAACGCGCTGAACGAAACTGGTTTCCGGTAACAGTACAGCGAGCGTAAACAAGATAAATAGTTATTGTAACAGTCCTTACAGGATGACTTTATTCTTGCTGCTTCTTTTTTGTTCTGTTTCATCTGCAGGTAAGAAACCAGTTTGTATCTTTGAGCTCTGACCGAGAGTTTACTTTAAAGTTGTTGTAGTCTGAAGTTTTAAACTAAATTGCAACACTCATTTTGAGGAATAATAGAAATATGGCAAAAACCAAATTATCTCTTTAAAGAGTTAAACGTAGTTTGCATTGCTTTCCTTTTGCCACATTTGGTCATTGCTCACACTTTTCTGCAGCATTAACCAAATCATACAACGAATAATATTTTTCATATTATTTGGTATTTTATTGATCTAATCTTATTTGTGTTTATTAAATGTTGTTTCACAGTGAGACACTCGCTGATAAATTACTTCACCGGATCTGCTGGAGTCCCAAACGGGACACAGTTTGTGGGTGTTGCTGTGGTTGATGGCGTTGAGGCAGTTTACTGTGACAGCAGCAACAAGATACTGGAATCAAGACAGGACTGGGTGAAGAAAGTGTTTGATAATGACTCTCAGCTGTTGGAGTGGTACAAACATGAGTGCTTTAACATTCAGCCAAGCGCCTTTAGAGCACGGATTGTTAGTTTGAAACAGCAGTTCAACCAAAGTGAAGGTGTGGTATTTTTTTATTTTTACATATATAATATACAGTGTATCAGATCATATAAGCTAAACTGACTGATGTAAATTTTAGCAATCTTAAGTTAAAGATTTAAAGTTACATTTTTGTACTTTTCAGTTGAGCCCAGGAATCATCAGACTTTACTAATGTGAACATCCCTTAAAATCATAATAAAACAATGCATTTGCATTTTTATTTATTTAGTTAGTTTTTGCATGCAGAAGAGCAAAGTGAACTGAAGTGAAATTCCTTGTTTGTGTGTGAAAACGTGGCCAAATAATGATGATTCTGATTCTTCTAAACTTTTATCCTATGTATCACAGCTCACTGTGTTTTCTCTCTGTCTCTCCAGGTTTTTACATCTTACAGACTAGAAGTGGCTGCGAATGGGAGGAAAGCACTGGAGAGAAGTTTGGCTTTTTGAAGTATGGCTATAATGGAGAAGACTTTATTGAACTGGATCTGAACACACTGTCGTGGGCTTCACTGAAACCAGAGGCTGACACTACCAAACAAAGCTGGGATGCTGACAGGAACAGAACAAAACTAAATAAAGTCTTCCTCACTGACATCTGTCCAGAGCGGCTGAAATCGTTCTTAGAATTTGGGAACAGCTCCCTGCAGAGAACAGGTAGCATTTTTTTGTTGCATTCATTGTAAAAAGTGTCTCGTTATGTGTTTTAAGACAAGACATACTTTACTTACCCCATAAATTCTTCATGGTTCTACATGAAGTCTGATATCTGTCCTTGGGGGTGGTTTTATCATTTTTTGTAGTTAACTCTGTTAGTGCTACTCTGAAAACAGTTACTTATTCATAACTGATAATCAGTCATTTGGATTAGAAGCAGAAGTTTCAGAAGAAAAAGAGTCCAACTGCAGACATCAACTAAGAAAATTTGAACTTTGATGAAAGCTGATTAGAACAACCTGTTGAGGCTGAGATGGTTTGGACCTGTGCAGAGGAGGGAAGTGGATATACTGGATGAAGGATTGTGAATATGGAGCTGCCAGCCATGAGGCGAAGAGGAAACCCACAGAGCAGGCTCATGGATGTAGTGAAGGAGGGTTGATGTGAAATAAGGGTAAGCAGATGATCTGCTGTGGCAATGAAAGAGGAAGGAGAAAGTGCCATAGTGTACTCTTCAACTTGTCTTTTAGCACCACCTTCTGGTGGTTTTAAAACTGATGGATGGATTTACATGAAATGTATACAGTATGTCATGATACAGCCTTATGCAGCTGCTATAAAGCTGGTGACTGTTTGACTCGAATGGCTCACTCTGTTATGAATTACAAATCAATTTTCACATCTTTGAGTTCATCTTATGTCACAAGCGATGTTTTTCATCCAACATGTAGACGACACTTGCTTCACTGTCAATGTTTCTTTTTCTCCTTATTGAATTTCCCTAGTGTTTGTTCCCATCTTCTTTCCTTACCTGTTTTTAGTTTATCATCTTTTTATTTTCCATCCATTTTCACTCTCTCTCTTTCACACCCTCCCTCTTTCCAGTTCCTCCTTCAGTGTCTCTCCTCCAGAAGTCTTCCTCCTCTCCAGTCAGCTGCCACGCTACAGGTTTCTACCCCGACAGAGCCGTGATGTTCTGGAGGAAAGATGGAGAGAAAGTTCATGAAGGTGTAGAGATAGGAGATATCCTCCCCAACGATGATGGGACCTTCCAGATGAGTGTTAATCTGAATGTTTCATCATTCACACCTGAAGAGTGGAGCAGATTTGATTGTGTGTTTCAGCTCTCTGATGTGGAGAAGATCATTGTCACAAAACTGAATAAAACACTGATCCGAACAAACTGGAAGGAAAAAATGACAAAAGGTGAGAAAAACTTGTTTGACTCATTTGGTTTGCTGATTCTGTGGATTGTCTGTAACATGATGTCTGAAAGTTTGCTATTGTTTTTGTTTGGAATCCAAGAATTGTAGCTTCCTGTGGGAATAACTAATGGAGATCCTAACAGAGAAGAAGCAAATTCAGTGCTTGTATACAATAAAGCCCTTGGTCATCTATTTTTGGCCTTAGATTTTGGGAAACGTTGCCGAGGCTCCTATAAAAGTGTTAAAGTGTTAGTAATATAATTTTAGTGCATCTGTTTTGCTTAACTGAAAAACATAGTACAGATGAACACTATAGGATGGATTTATTTATATTATAACCTTCTTCATCTGCTAATTTTGTTTGTTTGTTTTTTACTGTGCAGAGAAGTCCTCCAACAGGGCCATCACTGTCATTGTTGTTCTTCTTATTTTCATCCTCGTTGCTGTCGCTGGATTTGCTTTTTACAAAAAGAAGAAAGGTGAGAGACTCAAATGACCCAAGGAGTATCTTATAAAGTAGTTTAGTGCACTCTATCAGGCTTAAAGTCAGAGTTTTCTGTCATGAAGTGGTTCTCTTTTTACCTTTCAAAATCACCGCGGTCAGTTATGCTGAACACATTACTGATCAGGAACAGATTATGATCAGAGTTTGGTTTAAAATCAGCTGGAGGTGCCACAGTTTAATTAGATCTATTTGCAGCATGTGTTTTACATGTGCAAACCATAACTTACTACCATCACTAAATAATTCAAACTGTAATGTTACAACTGCACAAACTGTGCATCTCATTATCAGTGAAATTAACATCCATTTGGTTAGTGATGAAGAAAATGTATAAATGTTGTTGAAACAGAAAGCCTAGCTGAGCAGAGAGTGTCTTTTTTTTCAAGCCAGTTAATGCAAATAAAGCCTGGTTCTGTTGAACTTTATACTATACCCCACCTGATCCTCTAATACAGACTGAAACTGAACTCATCTGGGATTTTGAAATTGTTTTATTTCCTTTTTACTTCAGAAAAACACTTTACACCTTGTAAGTAAACATTCTCTTTTTTTACTCAGATCTGTACATTTAAGTTTTTATGCATATTGTATAAAAAAGTTAGTCCAGGACTAACAGTGCATTTTGTACCTTACAGCTGCTGTCAACATCTGCGAACTCTCTGAGGGAAAGAATGAAGACACCACATAAATAAGCATAGTGTGTACATAAGTCTACACACATCCAGTTAAACAAGTGAAGCGCAAAGAAGATTGTTGTGTCTTGATGCATGCTCAATCATCCTGGAAAGGAAATCCCAAAAAGTTGATTCTGTTCATCAGGACGTAGCGTTTTTCAGTGGGAGAAACGTTTCATCACTAATGACAATTTGCATAATTATGATCTAGACCAGGGGTCTCAAACTCGCGGCCCGCGGACCATTTGCGGCCCACGTCACCTCTACTTGTGGCCCGCATATTGATGTGAAGAAATATTTTTTAAAAATTATTATACGAAAAATGATTTAATACGACGGCAGAGTGTTACAGGCGTGGCCCTTTAAGACTGTAGCCTCATGGGCGGTGTAGTCCTTGCTGCAGGGAGAACGTGTGGTACCGCCCCTCCCGCTGTGTGTGTGTGTGTGAGCGTGAGGGAGGGAGAAAAAGAAAAGTCGAAAAGTACGAGGTGCTACCGAGTAGAAATGGGAGATGGAAGAATGTAAATATAAAAATAACCACTGCAGCCAAAACGAGTGCCTGACGAGCCCAGTAAGCTATTAAGACTCGACTGTACACCATGTTCGTGTTTTCCTCCGAAACAATAAGTTCTGCTGGAGCGGCCTTTCAATGCCTCTCTCTGTCTCTCGATAGCAAAGTTGACCCAGACAGTAAAGCTAGTTCCCGGCTACGAGCCCGACACGGAACCCAAAGTATTAGCCAGAGGTCTCCTTACCACGGGTCGGAGCCGCGGACCTGGCCAAGGTAACAAGAGAGTGCAAACATGTTGAGGGACTGGCTGTGTTGGTTCAGTGAGAGATTTATTTGAAAAGAAAACAATTTTCACTTGCAGTCGAAAACTAATGTGTACGCTTATGCCTGCATTTTAATTTTGTTAAATACAAACAAAATTGTAGCAAAAGTGCTTCCACGTGTCTGGCCAGAAAGAGCTGTTTATTTGGTAGTTCAATGAAACTACTGTACTATACTGCTGAGTGACTGTCTTCTGCTCGTCAAATACATTTCATTGCAATGTTGACCCTGTGCTAACTTGCATATGACAAATGAAACTGAAACTGAAAGGCTTCAGATAGTTAAGCGTGAGAAAAAAATTGCAATTTTGTCTTGTTATCAGATATTTGGAATTAAATAAAACAAACAAAACACTACATTTTAGGAAATAATAGTGGGTGGTTTCATGTTTGTTTTTTTGTACTACTTGGACACTAAAGTGGCCCTCCAATGAGATGACGGTGCCAGAAGTGGCCCACGGCTCATTTGAGTTTGAGACCCCTGATCTAGACCCTGACCTCACAGCCCATTGTTCATCAGTGGGCCAGTTTCAGTAATTGTGCAAATGTACTGTTTATAAGGCTGGGGAAACCTGCATTCGGCTGAGACGGAAGAAGGCGCTTTGATGAGTGATGAAACATTTCTCCGACTGAGAACACTACGTCCAGATGAACAGAATCAAGATTGTTTTTCTTTTTGTTCACATGTCATTCAGTTTTTTTCTGAAAAAGAGAAACCCCAGTCTGCTCTTACTCAGGAATTACTAAGTCATTTCTAAACTGGAGTTTGTATGATCTCTAGGTGATTAGAGGAGTGTGGTTCAGCTCAATAATTTATCTTATAAATGCTAAAAATATTTTGCTAATTTTCACTAACACAGAGGCCTGAAGATCTTCACCACTATACACTAACACTAAGCTATCTGCTCTGCTTCTTTACATTCTTACCTGTGATACAGGAACCTTCTCTGTTATCAAAATAAATGTGTGTTCATCAGTTGTTCATTGTAACTGTGACACCGCAAAAATGTTGCCATAATTGTATGTGACACCAGTCATAGCAGGTGTCTGTCTGTCTTCAGTTCGTCAGTCCTAGCTGACGTTCTGAAAATTTTCTTTAAGAATATTTCATCTGTTTTGTGTTTCTTTTCTGTTTCTATCTATGAAGTATTTTATGAAGTGTTAATTAGGAGTTATAGAGAATCCTTGTTTATTTTATATTTTATACTTAATCTGAGAGACCTTAATAAAACAAGGTAAATAAGGCACAAATACACAAATCTTTTTTGAATATTTTTTTTATTAATACAATGATCTTTATATTTGTAAATAATTCAGTACATTAACAGGCTTCCATATATTGCATGTACGGTTCAACAGCTTTTCTAAAATGTCCAACTTCCAGTGAGACAGCAAAACAAAACAAAAAGGATGCAAGAAATCAAAGTGCAATGGACACACACAAAATGCAAATCCAAAAGCATGCAGCACTTCCCAGAGAAGCATTAGCGTCCCGCTATAAAACTTTCAGCTGCCCACTCAGGCCCAGACTTCCTGCGATGAATCATACAGTCAGCATTTACAGCAAAAAGACATTTATAACAAATCAAAGTTCCATACCGATCAAACAGCGTCGCCCAATTTACAAACAAAGGGGCCAACAGGAGACTTCTGAAGCTACAACCTATAAACACACTAGTTTACTACCAAGTAAAACAATATTGTACGGCACAAAATAAAAACATACCAGCAATTGATGGAAGGCGTCAGGGAAATAATCCGCAGGGGATTTCTACAAAACATGAGTAACACCAGTCAATAAAAGTGGAGCCGATTCAGGTTTAGGCAGCATACATATACATGTAACTCCTACCTGTAACAGGGGACGTCGGCAACTGGTGAGCGAGTCAGGGATGCTTAGTAGTACCATATAATGTGATTGGTTAGTAGCGTGCTTAATAGGCCATATTGAAATATAATATTCAAATATAATATAGAAAAATGTGCTAGCCACTTCACTCACTTTGATAAGCAACCGGTCAGTTAATTCAGTAACTCTTTCAATCAATTCTCCATTAATGGACATAATAACTTCTTCCTCATTTACACGATTGCGAAATATCATGAATTTCTTTTTTTTTTTAGATTCAAAGATAATTTATTTACATCAAACCATTTTTTTTAATATCAACATCTCAGAAACCATAATTTCAACCAAATCTTTCAAATTCTCTTTCAAACCTTTTTGATACGTCACAGATATCATTGATATATAAATTAAAAAGTTTAGGTCCCAAAATAGAACCTTAAAGAACGCCACATACAATCTTCAATCTTTCAGAGGTGTTACCAAAATAATGTACATATTGCGCAAAGACAAAAAGCTTTTTAAGCACTTTTGAGAACTGTGACAAAAGAGACACTGGCCTATAGTTGTTAAAACTATGCTTACCTATTCAATTCAATTCAATTTTGTTTATATAGCGCCAAATCACAACAACAGTCGCCTCAAGGCGCTTCATATTGCACAGTAGATCGTACAATAATAGATACAGAGAAAAACCCAACAATCATGTGACCCCCTATGAGCAAGTACTTTGGTGACAGTGGGAAGGAAAAACTCCCGTTTAACAGGAAGAAACCTCTGGCAGAAGCAGGCTCAGGGAGGGGCGGGGCCATCTGCTGCGACCGGTTGGGTTGAGAGAAGGAAGACAGGAGAAAGACATGCTGTGGAAGAGAGACAGAGATGAATAACAGGTATGATTCAATGCAGAGAGGTCTATTAACACATAGTGAGTGAGAAAGGTGACTGGAAGGAAAAACTCAATGCATCATGGGAATCCCCCGGCAGCCT